ATGTGACGGTTATGGTCACGAGGGCTGGATGTCACATGCTCGCTTAGCGAGGCGCTAGCGCGCACGACCTGTATTTAGTTCCCAGCTCTCTCGAGCTCTCCTTCTTTCCTCGTCTTTTGTCCTAAGAATAGAGTGTTAATTGTTCTGAGTTCTACCTGAAGCACGTCTGTCACACAAGCAGTGGTTCACTCCACACGGTTACAATAGTAAGACCTCTATCTTTTATTTCTCTCTTTTTAACCTATATACTATAATATCTTAAATAGTTATAAAGTTTATTTAAGGTAGATACATTCGCTTACTTTTATTTATTATAGTTCTAGGATTTAAAGTCTTTATAAAAGATATTAAATAAATCCTTATCTTTTTTATCTATCTAAGTATTCCGCGACTTTTTAGTAAATAATTCTATATAGAGTATCTACTAGTCGATCCTTCTTCGCGCTAGTAGCCTACTTATTATTATTAAAGCTATCCTTATCTATAGAGTTATCTAGATTATCTAAATCTAGGTCCGGGTCTAGTAGCCTAGACGTACCTCCCTTATTAGTATCCAGTATATTTATTAATATGTATATATTTCCTACTATATATCGAAATACCGAAGATCTAACGTTAGTATAGAGGTATAATAGTATAGAGGTATAGTAGTTAGAATAAAAAGTGCTAAGTACAAAGTACTATAGTAGTATTATTATATAAGAGCCTACGTATAATTACGTATATACTCGTAGTAAATTATATTCTAGAATAATCGCGCTTAATCGATTCTAGGGTAAATATTATTATTATTATTATTATTATTATTTTAAATGTGTTTTTAAAAAACCCTTAGTACTAGTATTATAACTAGTTTTAAGGGAAGGAATCGTAGGCTAGATAAATACCAAGAAATACCTAATTATAATAGTATAGTACTATTTCGAAGACTCTACTAAACTTAGTAACTTTTAGCCGAGTAATCTTCTAGTAAATAGAACTATACTCTTAATAGCTCGAATATAATAGTAACACTAGAAAAATCTATCGTATATAATACTTATATTATATAGAGTTATCTAATCTATACGTGCTTACTAATTAGTATTAGTTTAACTCTAATAGAGAGTCTAGATAAAGTATTAATATAAATAGTATAGTATTATATTCGACTATTAGATATATACACCGAGTAAAGGTTATAGGTACTCGCTATTATATAGTAGTACTAAGGCGCTAGCGCCCCTGCTAGCCCTAAGGCTAACTTGCACGTGCTATAACTTATACCGAGTATTTACTCGATATTTATATAGTGATAAAGATACTATATAAGTAAATATAACGTCTTAAAAGGTAGACTTTAAATACTTACCTTAGATATATTAATATATTAATTAAAGATAAATTCTTATTAAGTAAGAGGTTTCTTATAGGTATAATACTATTAATTCTTATTAGAAGGACTAGATGTAATAACTTAATTTAGTCTTTAAATATAAATTTAAGTAAGTAAAATAAATATAATTATTAATATAAACTCTCTTTATAATTTAATTAAGTTCTATAAATTTAAACTCTTAATATAAAACTCTTAATATAATTTTAAGTTCTACTACTATAAGCTATAACCTAATCTCTATATATAAATTATATATATTATTTAAGTATAGCCTTCGTTTAGTAGCCTAGGCTCTACTTATTTAAGGTATAAATAGCCTTATAAGTACCCTAGGGGCTATTTAACCTAGATAATATATCCTTTACCTCCTATATAAACCTAAGTATTAGTAAAGGATATGTTTTATATATTAAGGGTAACTAAGTAAGCTTATATATATTATTTAATCTATTCGATTACTTATCTATAATAATAATAAATCTACTAATTACTATTGTAAGCTTATAAAGAGTAGTTTCTTATTAACCCTCTACTATCCCTAAGCTAGCTACTAGTTTTAGATAGTAAGATAGGCCTTAATTAAGCGCTTAGTAGCCTGGGCTCTACTTATTAAGGTATAAATAGCCTTATAAGTACCCTAGGGGCTGTTTAACCCAAATAATATATCCTCTACCTCCTACGTGAACCTGAGTATTAGTAAATATACAAATTATGTACTTGTAATATTCACCCCTTGTTGTGGCCATAGTTTCATACTCTTAAACAACCCCTTGCCTGTAAATTTTACTTACTCTCCACCCTAACTAGACAAACGCAATGGGCCTAACGAGTATCATATCACATTCTGTTAAGCTTGTATGCGTGAATTCAATAGCACGTGATAGTGGCCTAAGCCCCAGGAAATATGTATCTAGTACAGTGAGACTTAGACTCTCTTGCCTGGCTAGTTGAATGGAATACCAACTTCCATGGCCTATTTTCAATACATCCCGTCAAACACACCTCTGAAATTTGGCAACAACAACGATCGCCGACCCTTGAATCTGATGAACGGAAATCCACTTGAACCAACGGTGAAGAACGCCTCCATAACTATGGATACAATACCTCTATCAGAACTTTTTACCTTTCCTCAAGGTGACGTCGACGTCATAATTACGCTTGACGGCCAGAAATTCAAGGGAAAGGTTTACAGTAAGCTTATGGCTCTTGCAAGCCCTGTATGGAGAAAATTTCTCTTCCCGCCATTTCCACGTCTCCCAAAGAACGAGAATGACAAGAACGCAAATGAGGAGAATTGGAGTAACAAGAGTACGAACAACAACAGCCCTTCAAACGATGATGACGGACAAGTTAGCTGCACACAACGGAACAAAGACACCCAAGATCAGGATATCGAAGCCCACGCCAAGAGCGACCAAGCTACTTGCGATTGCAGAGCACCGGTTCCAGATTTGGACTTCACTGAGGACGATAGTGACATTCTCCTGCTGCTATTTCAGATTGCCCACTACCAGTTTGATAAAGTCCCTGAGTGCTCCAGTCTTGATGAGTTGATAGGTATTGGGATGCTGTGCGATGATTATGATTGTGCAAAGCTGTACGCCCCTTGGGCAAAGAGATGGATGAGAGACAATTTGCCCCCATGGAGATCTCTTCACATTGAATTAGTTCATTCTTTAGAGTGGCATAAACTCGAAGAATATGAAGCATATATTTTCATAACTTGGATATGGAAGGACTGTGGTTTCATTAAGTTTGCAGAAGAACTTGTCTGTCTCCTTCGGTCGCCTGAAACAGATCCTTTCTAGAATTCAATTCTAGTTCCAGATGGGTTGACGGGTAAGTGATTGAGAACACGATACTGAACTGAGAAGTTGCTAATGATTTGGATTCGTTTAGTCGGCATAGTTCGTGCACGTCAATCCTTTCTTGAAGAATTGTTCTCTGGCTGTAAGGAAGTAATCTTCAACGCCTCTCTGAGAAACCAGAAGCCTGAATATTTGAAAGGTCCTGGGCCCTATGACACATACAATCGCGGTGTACGTGACTCATGCTACCTTAGTTGGGTTGCATGCACCACAAATGCTTTCGCTGACATAAAGGTATGGCCAATGAAGGAAGGGATAGCGGCAGAATATCAAGGAAGCATTCAAGAAGTGTTCATTATTCTGGATGGGTTAACCTGGCTTGGAGAAAGATATAGGGCAAATGAGAACCATTTTGATTGTTTAATGGGGCTATGGGTCGTTTAGCAGAGACTTGACAATGCGTGTACTGAACAAGAACGACCAGATATATGGGTGGTTATCCTGGTGGTGGCCTTTATTACTTCAGCACGAAGCACACCTGGAAGGCAGAATAGCTCCAGTTCTACTTGGCACTGAATAGTTTCTGTACTTTAACATACAGCTCCTCCCCAGCCATCAAGCAGGCAACTGAGCAATGAACACTGGTCAGAAGTATTAGAAAGCTAGACATTCTGAGGCATATGGACTAGTTATAGACTACGAATGGTTTCCTGACTTCTAAAATTGATCTTTCTGTATCTTTTTACTTAGGCGTTTTCTTATTTTTTACTTGTAATCTTACGTGTTTGAGGGCCTCATAAGATCCTTTACTCTGCTAATAATCAACGTGTCTTGTAAGAAAAACTTGATTTTACTCACATCCAAAAATTCGTAAATAACTTCATTATCGATCCTCTATTATAATATTAACAGTTTCAGCTCTGATCAAATAAGGGGAACTATAGGGTCCTCTTCTCAACAGCCTGCGTTCAACCCCCCAAACATCCCTCCTTCTCCCAGATTCACCTTCAGTTTGCTGTGAACGTGATGTTGGTATACAATTTCAAATTCACCTTGCAGTTATGGATCATAGCCTGAGTCTACCGCTGAATCATTTTACTATTATAATCTGACCAGCCTACTAACTCTTCTCATCAAACCTTCCACAATTTAAAAGATACGATCACCGTGAGTAATCTTACGCTTGCCCCGACCTTGGTACTCAAGCTCACCTTTGATTTCTTCCACGTCATCAGACAGCTAAGGACAAGCCTCATCCTAAGCCATGACTAGCGAAAGCGAGCCAGTCACTGGCGCATCTCTTTTCCTTTTACCAGCTGGCGACACGGATGTCATAGTAAAACACAATGGACAAAATGTTGTAGGAAGAGTATCATCTGCAGCATTAGCAGCGGCAAGCCCTGTTTGGAGAACGCTCCTCCTTTCTAACCCCCACAAGTATTACGAAAACCCTTGCTGCGTCTGTAATAAAGCAGCCCCCTGCCTCGATTTCTCAGAAGAGGATGGTGATACTCTTTTAGTGCTATGGCGCATAGCCCATTTTGATTTTGAGGCAGTCCCCCTCAGCCTGGAAACATGTGCGCTATTTCGAATGGCGATTCTTGTTGAAAAATTTGGGCTCTTCGTCCTTGTCAACCCGAGGGCCAAAGACTGGTTATGGTTCAACAAAAAAGAAGCGATCGCTTGTTGTTGACCGAGTGCCTTCCAGGTGGGAGAACAGATCGGAAAGGATTTGATTATATCCATGCTTCTCATATATGGCACGTCGAGGGAGCCGAATATTTAGGCCTCATTGCGCCTATTTACATAAAATGGGCTTTCCGATGCAAGGAATACTTTGGGTTACTTGCTGCTCGACTTGTGTTATCATCATGTCTCCGTGAGCCGAAATACACTGAAGAGTCCATATTTGGTGAAACGCAAATCAAGGAATCGACGTACCTACCTGAAGGGTTCATGCGTAAGAGATCTAGTTGAAGAAGATTTTTGAATAATGATGTGCTAATAATTGAGCAGAATCTGTACTCGAGCAACGTCAAATCAGACTTCGGATGTTTCTTGAGCTTGTTAGAGAGACCATCCAATCTGATATTTCAGACTCGGAGAACAAATGTATCTTCTCACTCAACAAAGCTATAGAGCATTTTTCTGAGGAAACAAATATTTCGTCGATGTTAGAGCAATGTCCACTTGAGCCAAATATTGAGTGTAGCGTTCATCTACTAGCAGATCAATTTCTTGATAAGTTTCGCCACTTTATATGCGGCAACACACATGCTATGAAAGTCTCCGTGGATAGGGAAAGATGGTGTTATCGTTGTGGTAGATGTGATAAATGTGAAGAGTGTACTGTCTGTGACAAGCTATGGGACGATTTCGTTGCTAAAGTTGACTCTATCATCGATCTTCGTACAATCCCCATGTCATTTCTGGACAAGTACAGCGAGCATTTTGGAACATAGGAAGTCATATCTCTTGACTCGGGTTGTGTTGTGTACCATTGCTTCTGGCGGGAAAGGGGGAAAGAGGTTGTAGTCTGTGGCCATGTAGAAATGTCGCAATCAGCGGTCTAGGCGAAATTGATACATCTTATAAACCTCTAGCTCTTTATGTTTTATGTGCAATGCAATTTCTTTTGGCACTGCGAATAAGCCATAAGACTCTTGATATGTGCTCTACTACGGCATCCCAAATCTACTACTAAACCAGATGACCAAATCGTAAAAGTCTTATATTTACTACTGCTACCTAATATTGTGCCTATACCCCTATACCCCTACCCTCGCTCAAACTTCACAGCCTTGAAATTTTCGCGTGCACACTCGCTACCCTCGCTGTTGTACCCCCGCTGTCGCACCCTCGCTTTCGTATAAGGGTTGTGCCCTAGTATGTTGTTTAGAAGAGAGAGAGAGAGTGGGCAGCGGAGGGGACAGAAGCGGGGAGATATTCTCGTGTATGTCGCTTATTCCCAGCCCGTAATACCGCCTTCCTAAAGAGGCTAGGCTAGTACGTGTTGCGCTAACAATTGTTTGCTACTTGCCTGTCCTCTCTCCTCCTTCTCCTCTGAGTAGTAAGGGAATTGATTAATAGTAGTAGTTATAGTAGTTAAGAAGGTTATTTAGTAGTAGAAGAGTTTTATATAGAGGGGGGGAGGGTAGAATTAAAGGAGCGTTCGAGTTATATTCGAGGGTATAAGTATTCGAGTCAAATTTAAGCTTATTTACTTATATCGAGTAGTTTTACCTTCAATTCTAGCGCTAGTATATAACCCTAACCCTAAGCTAGTTTGCGATTTACGACTTACGATTAACCTATAAATAAACCTTAAAATCGAGTATTTATGGTTTACGATTTGCGATCAAGCTATCTGGTTTAGTAGGAGATTTGGGACGCCGTATCTAGCTAGAATATAAGAAATACTGTTTTCCGATCCACAGTAAATTCAGCGCTCCAGGCTTTCGTAACACAAGCAAATCGAGAAAAGAATCCGGTATTTCAAACCTACCCCTTACTACGATTTCCATCATGCGGTCTAGTCAACGAGCAACCAAACCAATCAATCAACCACTTAGTCTAATACTTGTAATAACACGCTTCCGATCAACGATTGTATATTTAACTTGCCTATAGTACGAACCGATCTAGAACATTATACACACCAGATTAGAGCTTATCAAGTACCAATAACTCTATACCTCGTACTTAGCACCTACGAAAAACAGTCTAATCAACTAACACAAAAAATATCACCACACCCTAACGTAATACAAAGTACAACTAACATTCTCCTATCCAGCGATTCAAGAGATTTGCCAGTCGATCTACCAAGGTATGTCCTCATGCCTTCTCGCCCCACCAACTCCGCGCCTGGTATTAACCGCTATCTCGTTTCTCGCCTACCCTTCCAAACCTTTTACTATAGCAAAAAGGTTCAGAACTATATGCAGGCATTTGGTTACATGACATTCCTACACCGTAGAAACCACTAGCTTATCTCACCAGAAACCCTTGAGCCCTTCACCATATCACTTCTATTCAAACCAAAATCCCAAGAGAGATGAAATCAAAAACTCGACAGAGCAATATCTGACCGACTCAGCTATATAATATCTCCCCAATAAACTAACGCCGGAGAAAAAATACTAGATAATTTCTAGTTGACAAACCCCTAGTGATTCCACAAACTACAGCAGTATTCCTCAAGCAGAATCACGTTTCGGGGCATACAGCACCGAACAAGGAACTTAAAAACAACCACAATCATCATACAATCATATCAATTTCAACTCCTCTACTGACATGCCTAATTTTAACTTGAACTCCGTGATCGCAATTCGCCTCCCATGCCCAATCAGTAATCCAAAGAAATGCCAAAAGAAAACCCGGCAGAATGACAACGGTTTCCAACCAAAATATACAACTACCATACATCAAGTCATTTTGCTCATCCTAGTCCAACTAAAGTACAGCTTCAGACACCTCAGGACTTGCTCTGCGCTTGCGATTTCATTATCAATGCTGTCAGTTTTGCGATCTGAACACTCAAATCCGCCACCTTTTCTTCTAACTCTTTCTCCCGCTCCTTCACCAGTGAGAGATCCTCGACATGCTGCTTGGATCTGAAGCTTCTATCTCTGGTGGAGAGCAAAGGGCTCGAGTTGTCTTTACCAGGCGAAGGCGAAGTACCATGGATGTTATCCGAGTGAACTCTACTAATATCCTGGTCATGTAAGTATGAAAGCGGGCCTCGGTTCGCCTTTGCCTTCGCCTCTTTGGCCTTGATTGATTCTATGAGAATACGTGTTGTCTCCGGCAGCTCTGACGAAAACAAGTCTTCCCCTGACTTGTATTTTCTCCATGGGAGATGTTCCAAAACCCAAATAAAGTAGACAATAGGAAGGTGACTGAGTTTCAGGACGAGTATCCGAGCTCTTCGGAGGGACTGAGCAGGGAGAAAAAGACGCAGAGGCCGAATAAAGAACAAAGGAACGAGATTCTACTGGGAAATTAGCCTTTAATTACCACCAAAAAATCTGGGTAGACATACCAACGGCGGGTAGAAGTGGGTAAGACTATTGCTGGTTGAGGCTTCAAGAACGTAAACTGAGTAGACATAGAGATGTTCTTCTCGGGCGTTCGCAAAGATTCTGGAGAAGCTCTCTCGCATAACACAAACCAGTGAAGTAATTAACAGAATGTTTGTCATACAAATGTATATGAGCATCAGGGGCGGTCCTAACCGGGGATCAATCTGGTGCATGATATCGAAGCCCAGGGAGCTTGAGCCAAAGAAGATTTTGGTCAAGGTCCAACTCATTTCGCGCATCGTGAAGGTCTCTCTAGCTAGGAGAGAGAATGTGGTAAGAAACCCTATGTCAGTTAGAAAGAGTAACCAGAAATTTAAGAATGCCAACTTGCCGACTTGAATGATTCCAACAAGCACCATGAATTTGACGAAGTCTTTCATCATTGCCTTCAAGCAAGGAATTATGGTAGCGAAATATGGGAGCAGACTCAGGAGTGAGCAAAGTCTATGGGTATTAGCTGCATGCGCGCTTGAATTGGGAGTTTTCCAACATACCTTGGAACCATAAACAACGCTTCCAATGAGAGGATGTCAAAAGCGGTGTTTATAGTATCATCATCGTGATCGATGAGTCCGATAGCCCCTGTCCGTCTCAGTAAACCCGCTCTATCCATGCAACAAGGAAAACTTACTGGTGACCATAAAGGCAGCACCAATCAAGATGATGATTGTGTCAAAACCATTCCAAATGTCCACTGAGTACACCATGGTTCCAGCTCCTATAAACTCGCTGAACTCGTCATAGGCAAATGCGGCAAACCAGATGTACAAGAAGATCTCGGAAGGGTAGATGCGATACCTGGATCTCATTAGTATTCCGAACTTGAAGTGCATCACGCTCATCAGACATACATATCTCGCTCCATAAGCACGGTGTAGTAGAGAAACAGGAAAGTGGAGAAGAAGAGAAACTCGAAAAGCTTGATGTACTTGGGTACTCTCAGGCGCGCATATTTATCCGAACGTGCTCGGCTGTAGAACTGAGGAATCTTGACTGTATTCTCGTTGAGGTTTTCCCAGAATTGAATGTCTCCTCGCCAGATTCCAGTGACAATCTTCTGAATAAGCGCCTGACTCAAGAATTTCTTAGAGTCAGATACGACTGCAATCTCCAGGCCTGTCAAACCGATGAAAGATTTCGTTGGATCCTTACTACTCCGCTTCTTGTTCCCGTTTGGATTTTGTGAAAGAGATCCCAGGGAATGGACTGCTTGCTCAAGCTCTCCTCGTCTACTACTTCCTGGCCTGGTGAGGATCGCATCGTTTCTACCAGAAGATTGGAATCTAGGCAAAAGACTCGTACGTTCCGAAGGAGCTGCAATATCTGCAAGCGAGGTGACTGTTGATTGCGAGTCGAGTACAGGTGGTATTTCGTACAAGCAATAGTCGACCGCATCCCGTTCAGAAAGTCGACTGAGAAATCTCCAAGCCACAATCTCGCATGCATTCGCCCGGGAAGTGTTGATTCTGGGGTCATCGGATTCCAAGGTAGAGAAGTGCCATTTCAAAGTGCTGGAAGGGGAATTAGCTTGGATGACAACAAAAGAGGGGGGAGGGCATGGCGGATACATACAGCAAGGCACTAATGATGACTTTGTTCTTGGTGTTGATGACCAAATAATCCACCAAATTTCGAAGCTTGTTGCCAGCTCCAGTTGTGCGGAATTGTTCGAAAGTGTAAGGAAGTGTTATTTCGTCGACGAAGAAGCTAGAGCTCATTAGTACTTTACCTCCGAATCAGGATAGCAGAAGATCCTTGGATCCCACATACATGGACAGTTCTCGGACGACATCAATAAAGTGGTCATCGGGGCCAATTTTGGGCAGGTCTTCGAACCATTGATCTTCCGAAAGTATTCCGTCTGCCAACGGGGACGCAGGCGCCGTCATGTCGTCAATTGAGTGGGTCGGTGTCGATATGTGAAGCTATTCCCAAGTGACGTTGCCCTTGTCGAAGGGTGAGTGAGTGGTGTTGCAGACGCGAAGTCCTGAAAGGTCCCCTCGATGTGAAGAGAGACGGTGAAAAAAAGTTATTGCATAGTGAAGGTACAAGTTCGAGAGGAAGGAAGTCGCGACTCGCGGTGCATGGCATTGCCGTGGCATAGGTAGGCATATGGATCCATATGGATCTCAAGGGCAGGTGCAGGCGTGCCCCTCTCATCACTACCAGGTACCTATCACAGTACAAGTACTCATACTAGGTACCTATCACTCAGGGGTAAACACCACGATAAGGGTCCTCCAAGCACTAACCGGGTTGCCTGAAACATCCCCAGGCTCCCAAGCCCCTGTCCTGGAGAGCCTATGAGGAGTGATGATTGGGCTGTTGTGACGCTGTGACGCTGTGGCGCAGGCCTGTGTAGCCTGGGGCTGACTTCTAGGCAAACGCGGGGATTCGCCATCATCTCATACATCTACCCCACTCCATTTCCATCGACCACTTCTACACATAACAGAAGTCAACACCACGAAATAACCTCCATAAGAATCATCTGGCATCAGAAAGTCATCGAAATCTCATCGGCTGTATCACTTATCACTCTCTCTTTGACTAAGTACACCTATAAACCAACCAGCCGGTTCTTTCGGCACGGATACAAAATACCACAGACACTCTGCCCAAGCTCGGAATAGCTTCATTTGCCACACCTCAACTCTCGACGCATATCCAGCCATGGCGCCCAATCCTCTCAGCACCGAGAGTATTCTCTCCCACATGGCAGCAGCCATTCCAACACATCCCAAAGACGATACGGGATGCGACTTCAGCAGCTCGTACGAAGCCCTCGCCCTCTTCTCACACGCTTGCATGGCTGCGGTTGGATTCAGGTTGGTGGGATTCAAGGAGGACCAGATGAAAGGTATTCTGCGTAATCAATCTCCCTTGAGACATCTCTAACGTTTCGTGCAGAAGAAGAGTGCGAAAAACTAGCTCCTCGACTTGCCCCGGAATGGAATTCTTCGTTTGGTTCACACGCTTTCGTATACGCTCACTCACAGTCGTCCATGCAATACGTAATAAAAGTCGATAGGTTGGGAGGAAAGGCGGAAATCAGGGGAATTGGACTGGGTGATGAGAAAATCACTCGAATGGAAATAACTGCCAAAGACTACATCTCGTCCGCGGCTCTACCACTACGAATCACCATCACGGAATCTGGCGAGGAGGATCGGTCGGATTTGGAGAAAAAGCTGAAGCAAGTTTTCATATCTCCATCACGTATCCAAGATCTTGCGGATCTTTTCAAGACCGAAATCATCCAAAAATTGATACCCAAACTCCACAAAGAAGGCTATGAGGAAGCCGCCCACGTTCACCAAGAAGGAGAAGATTCAAGAGCTAGGCCTCCTCCTGATCTTCTTGCTCAACCCCTCCCCGAATCAGCACGTCCTAACCCCTATGGAATTCCCCATGGTCAGGATTTTCCACGTCCATTTCCTCAAGGTGATTTCCCACCACCAGGCTTTGATGACGAACTTGACATGAATCGAGGACCAAGACGAGGATTTCCGGGAGGCCCATCACCATTCGGCATTGGAGACAGAGACTTGAACCCCCCAGATCTTGGCCCACATGATCCTTTGAGACGAAGCTTTGTTCCTGGCTATGGAGGAGGCATGGGTATGGGTGGTGGAATGCACCCTACATTCGACGATCCATTATTCGCTGGTAGAGGGGGACAAGGCGGTTTCCCAGGGGCAGGAAATGCACCACCAGGTGCGAGGTACGACCCAACTGGTCCCGGTGGGGCTCCAAGAGGATCTGGTCAAGGTAGAGATCCATTTGACAATTTCGTAGATTATCATGGTCCACCACACATGGGGGGAGGTAACGGCCCCGGATTTGGTGGCTCTAGATTTAATGGCCCTGGATTTGGCGGTTCTGGATTTGGTGGTGATATTATTTAATGGTGGAAAGTTGATGTTGTACGATGAAGAAAAATATGCCATGATAACGATAATTTAATTAATGACCGGGGAGACACAGTCACTCGAGGCGACAAGTCGATTTTGTCCTCAGGAATTGGTTGGGGCTGTACTTTTTATGATTTATGACTTCTCAAAAGCGACCCTCCCCCCTTTTCTAACTAGCTAGTGTTCGCCAAAGTTAATTACAAAAATGTTTGTTCTTGGCCATCTTAATCGTGTTCGTCCTTAATTTCGTTTGATGATGAAACAAGAAATGAAAGATTCTGTTTGATCTCACATCTTGCAAGTTCTCACCATATATCTAGTGATTATAATCTCTCCTGAAGAAATTCGCGCACAAGCCATCTCGCTTACCGCCCCGCTTAACAGACAATGTCTCCCTTCCATGCTCTCCTATCCTCAGAGTGGTTCTGGGACGGAACAGGTGTTGTCAGAGGTGGGCTCATAGGCTCTTTTTGTTATATACCAAAGTAGCGTTTGGACAGCGGCTTTCGGGGGATATGTAGAGTCCTTCAAGTGTATGTTAATCTGAGGCTGGAGAATTACGAGGAGATTTGTAGGAAAGTTAGGGTATAGATAATGGTTTAATGAGTTGAATCTTTGATGTTTTTGATAAAAGAAGGAGTTAACAACTGTGGACTTTTGGTTGAACGAGGGCGCTAGTAGGTTCTTCTAGTGAGAGGTTCAAGGGACTCTAGCGACGGGGGGCAAGGGAGTATGCTAGGGTCTTGCTAGATCACGGTCGGCGGTTGGTGTGAGATTTAGGAAATAGGTTAGGTGTATTAGAAGAGGTCTGGGTAGGGGGATAATTCTGGGGGATTTGAAATGCTTGGAGTTGGTATTACAAGGTGATAACGTGGGAAGTGATATTGTTTCTTTTACTGATTTAGACACTTTATTATGATAGAAGTCTAAGGATACAGGTAGTAGAGGTATTGGTAACTAGTAAAGAGCTTTTTCTAAGTTAATCACCTAACAATATTACTTCGATATGTTGAAAGTTGGGAATTTGCTAGCAGTAAAATTGATAACTAGAAGAGAACATGATGAAGTGGAGGGGAAACGAAGGCCCAGAAAGTGGGAATGAAAGAAAACCTCATAGTATAAGAGTTTAAACGCGTGATAACAGGGTTTGGTAAGATATATGGCAGGTAAGAACGATTTAGGCTACTTGTACTCGAGTACTGAAATAGCTAGATTTATACACTTTTTCCATTTCAAGATAATACTCATGGTAAGATTACTTAAGACTATTGGCAAACTGGAAGTGATTTTTTTGTACTCGAAGATATTGTAGAATTACCCCCTTATATTACTTGCTAACGCAATTTCAAGCCTCCCATAATATATCTAGGCTGATTTGGTTCTGAGGAACCATAATAATGCCTTGATTTATATACTTTCGACGCTCTATATTCAGCGTTCATCATGATGTCTCCCATAGCCCTTCTCTCAGCGTCCCACATCTCTGAATCCGCCTTAAGGTCTGAGACATGAGCCGTAGTAAGTATATCGTAGGCATTGATGAAGTAAACTGCTTGTATTTGTCCTGTCTGTGGATGTTGGTAATCTCCTGATCGTACACGTGCATCAGGTCCTAGATAGAAGCATATATCTTCTGAGATAACTTCTCGATCGATGCCGTCCCCTGGTATGAAATACTCAAGTTTTCTTCGCAAGGGCGCTGATTTTCTCTGAGGCATTGACTATAATCTTCATTCCCATTCCGATCGGACTGCCTGGCGCCGTGGTGTAAACGCCTGTCTTTGGGGGCCTCTTTGCGAGCCCTATCTAAACCTCCGAAGGCCTCTTCTCGAGACCTATCGCCATTGGGTAAAAGCCTGATTTTGGGGACTTTTTCCCGAGGCCACTTTGCACGAGGTATTGCAGAAGGTCTGGCCATGTTCGCGGTAACTTTGATCGTAACATTAGCACCAAAACTTTTGTAGTGGATGGACTTCTAACCAGAAGCTCCAAGAGCAGCCCCTGCCATACCAGCACCGATAGCCCATGAGTGGCCAATACCGGATTCCTCTCCAATGCGAGAGCCTTCGCCTTGGAATGAACTATTTGGTGAAACTTGCGGTCATACTCATCAACGTCATAATATCCATGGCGTCGTCTTTCAGTCGCCCCTGATTCGACAACGCTGTTCTTACTGCGCAATGGGATTGACCTTTCGATGATGTTCTCATTCGAACCGTTGCTTCTGGCTTTTCGATCTTTGCGGTTCAACGATCTTGACCTCGATCTCGAATGAGTGGTCTTGAAGCTCCTTCGCCTTTGAGGTATCTGCTGAGTGCTCGTGCTCCACGACCCAGAAGGCTGGTCGTCTACTTTCGCTTGGTTGGAGGTTATTAAGTCAGAAGAAGAGTTTGGCGGAAGGTTTTGAAAGTCTGGTAAACCTGGGGGTAGCTCTGACGCAGCCAGCATCCAATGGTCTTCATTCGCTTCTTGTGCGGTTGATCTAAGTTCGGGGGTTGGTTGCATCAATTTTTAATGAAGTTGACACAACTCTCACTCACGTCAGCCCTTTCCAATGGCTTGACTGGAAACACGCATGCTTCTTTGGAGTAGTCCAGTAGCTCCGAAACATCGTTATTATTATTATTATTATTATTATTCCTTTTAACGTGCTGTGTGAGTCTGAGACTATAGTAGCACGGCTGGGGGTTTCCCTCCAACAGATGAGTAAAGCTGTACTAACTACATGTTTGAGAAGGGGTTTATGGTCATTACAGTTCTTGGGTTGTTGGAAGCAGCTAGGCTTCTGGTTATGACAAAAGAAAAGTTGTTATGTTGTAGTACGCCCCCTCGTTTCACGCCCTGCCGAAACATCGTTGAAAGCGGGCTCGAGTGTCAGAATATTATAAACAGTTTCTCCGAGACACCACATATCAATGGCAAAAGGATATACCGTACTAGAATCCTTGGATACTCCCAGAAAGATCTCTGGGGGTGTAAATCCTGGAGTCCCTCTGACTGTGGAAGCCGTTGCCCCTTCAATTCGTTTGCTAAGACCGAGGTCGCAAATCTTTACATGCCACTCGTCCAAAGTTTTGCTCTTAATAAGAATGTTCTTTTTACATATCAGTACTTGGAATTCCTCATCTTGCCACAATCAACATACCGCTGGCTTTAAGTCTCGATGTGCAAATTTGTTCTGATACATGAACTGTAGCCCTTGGAGGATTTGCCATGCAGTATCTTGAGCCTGCCCCTCTGGCAACCTCCCGTGCTCTTTTAAATAGCTCCTCAAATCCCCGTGTTCACAATATTCCATCGCGATATATAAATGATTGTTGCTCTCAAACCACCCGTGGGATTTGACGAAGTATCGTACAAACTATATCATGATCAGTCAAATTCGAAAAAGGGGGAGTCGAGATCAGCTAACCTTGTCTTGTGAGAATTTTGCCAGTGCCTCTATTTCACGAACACAATCTCTCGCTTTATACCTTTGTATGTTCAACTCCTTTACTGCACGCAGCTCAGAGACCCCTTGACCACTCCCATTATTTCTTTCCAGCCAAACAATCCCGTATCCTCCTTGGCCAAGCTTTCTCTCGCGTATCCATATATCTTGCTGAATCTTTCCTCGACCCGATGATTTCGTATGGACTATCGCAGTGGGTACAGTACCCGTCGGAAAGTCTGAGCCATTTTAGCCGGCTGCCGACGAAATCCACTTAAATAACGCGACGCGTTTCTAACCCTCTTTCTTTCCTATATAACAACTTTTTTAATATACCTCTAATTCGTACGCTATTATATAATATTACGCTCCTAAGAGCTTATAATTATGAATTAACTCTATATTAGAGGGGCTAGGTAGTTAGTATAACTTATAAAGGTACTAAATCTATAAAGATAAAAAAAGTCCTCGATATTACCTGCGAAGTAGTATATAATATCCTTTCTCTAGAGCTATTTCGAACTAATAGCAAGACTCTACTACGTATTAGTAAACTAAAAGAATACTTGAATTTAAACGTATAATATACACTTAGATATATATATAAATACCTAAAAGATACTTATATAACTTATAAGTTATTATAGTATACTAGCTCTCTTTTAAGACTACTACCCTAAAGATAATCCTTAAGGACGCTAGTATAACTAATTAGAGGGCTAGACGCCGCCCGACTCTTATAAAAGCTTATATAGCTACTTAACTTACCTAGTATCTAAAATAAAGGTATATTACTAAGGAGGAATAGAGCCTTATATACTAGAGTAATAAGTGTTCTATAGAGCGGGGGCGGGGTAAGCGAGCCGAGTAAGTGTTTTATACTACTAACTAAGTATAGAATCGAGAGATAATCTAGATATATAACTATAAGAAGAATATAAAGGTTATAATCTAGGAGTACTTCTAAGACCGCGGAAAGAGTAACCTATATATTATAGACTAAGATTTTAAGTCTAAGAAGTATAGGTATAGTATAGAGAGCTACCTCGAGGTCCTCGAAGTAGAAGTAGCTCTAATATTCGAGAAGTTAGAGTAGAGGGGCGGGGGGTACCTCTTTATATAAGATAATACTTTTATTTATACTACTAGAAAGGTTAGAGAGTAGTTTACGCTTTATAGGATCGATATTTTAAAAGAATAGCTACTATATTCTCTTAATCTTAACCTAATTAAGTATATCTAGTAGTTACTTAAAGTAAGAGTCTTTAAGATATTCCCTATAATAGCTATAGATAAATCTAATAGTAAGGATTTAAGGCAAAGGCTTAAAAGTACTCTATAAGTAGCGTAGGATACTTTAGATAAAGGGTCTTTTAATATTCTCTATAAGAGTATACTAGCTAGAATAGAGGCCTATATCGCGGCGAATAGCTAGTATACTAAATATTAGAGTACGCTTTTTATCCGATTTTAGATTTAAATAGTATATTTTATAGCCCTAACCCAGGGGATTCTTTTCGTTTAATTCTTATTAAATTCTAGTACGTATTAATAGTAATGTACTCGTATATATAGGAGTAGTTATAGTAGGGGAAATCGGCACTCGGCTAAATGGCTTAGACTTATCGCCTAGTACTGTATGTCCGCGTTCGGGTGGAATTTTGCTTCCAATTTCGAGTCTTGCACAAGCTCAGGGTGTAACGAATACTCAAACTGGCTAACTAAACTTGGCTGGGTGTTCGCTGGTTGGTATGCTATGATAAGAAGAAGACTATCGGGTTGTTCACTTGGAAGTGAACTCGTTACTTGTATCAAAGATGTCAAACTAATATGATAAGATTGATAACTAAGTTGAGCACGAAGCTCCTATCTAAATGGCAGACGTGCCAGTCTTATATAGAACCTTCGTTCTCTGTCTAATCGCTTTAGTCGCTCGCCTCAGTCGCTTCAGTCGACAGGCGACTCAGGCGACTGAAGCGATCATGGTCACGTGGTACTTTAATCCGACGAAATCCATGGATCGCTTAGCTAGCCTAAGGATCCCCTTCTGCTATAAGAGTTATGATAATGCTCGACCTGTCAGGGCGCCGCCTGGTCTTCACTATCTCCCGTGGTAACACGTGATTCGTGACACAGGGAGCATGTCGCGCGGGATCATGTCGTCTCGTTCTGCTGCTCCAGTTGCAGCGATTTACATATCGTTAGGGACAAACCAACAGCCAGCCTACTGGAGCCAGTGCGTCAGTATTGCGAGATTGAAAACGAAGAGAAACGAAGGTAGGGCTAAATCCGTCTTAAAGGACAAGGCTCCGGGGCATCTGAATAATATACTGTACCACCCTGCGTGCTCCTGTGCTGACTGCATGCGATGCAATGGGCGCAGTAGTGGCTGAGCCGAACCTCCCCGATATAATACCACTAGGATGATTTTAAGAAACCCTCTGGAAACAAATCTTCTCACTCCATCTTTCTTCGCTACTACAATAATGCCTGCAGAACCTGCCCTTGCAATTGTGGGTGTAGTGGATTTGTGCCTTAAGTAAGAGGCTACTTGACTAATTATTCGCTTTATGCTAACATTTATAGGTATGGAAACGAGCTGAGACAAATGTGCAAAGCCTTGAGAGGCGCCGAGGAAGAAATAGAAGAAAGAGCTTTGAGGTTAGAAAACGGGTGGCATCGCTGCATTACTCAACTTCATTGCTTAAGGCAGGTCCATGAAGTGATGGATGACGATCATAAAGCACTTTACGAACGCACATTGCGTATGCTAGTGGGAAAACTCGAAGTCGCAATCTCGATCCTCAAAGGACTTGTTAAGGTTCAAGTTGGATCACCTGGAGACGAATCAAGTGTCACATTCACACCAAGAGCGCTGAAGTACGCATTTAGAAAGGATGGCCTTGATGAGGCTATAGAAGCTCTTGAAACCTGGCAACGAATTTCGGACCCTTCCTGGTTTCTCATTTTGAAGAAATTTGATGACAGAGTCGATAAAATGCTTGCGAATGAAGAGTCACAACTCGGGGAATACATACCTTCTACTTCCATCATACCAAGGAACATATTTGAGGATACGCCGTCGATCAGTGGCTCTTCTCCAAAGCTTTGGCTACCCTCTACTGAGATTGCAAAAATGGAACTTCTTGATATTCGGTCTTCCAACTCCAAGATCGCAAGGAAAGTCAGATCTAACGCAACCTCTATATTTATTCTAGACAACATCGGCTTCGTTGATTCCAAGGACTATTCAATCACCAAGATCAATATCAGGGATCTGGCCAAGCGCTTACAACATGTTGAACCCCAAACATTCGGCTTATTAAACTGCAAAGGCTTTGTTGAAGATAGCCCCTCCTTTGGAAGTGGCCCCACTGAATCGTCTTTCATGATGGTGTTCCGAACCCCACCCACTTCATCAACCCCTAGAAGTCTCCGGGATTTTCTGCTCAGCACTGAAAAGCCAAAAATTCTCTGTCACAAAGGTTCTCAATCGCTCAGGAATTAGCGAAATCCGTCACTTATGTGCATGTCTTCGGATTCGTACACAAGAACATTCGCCCGGAAAACATACTCCTGTTCGAGAACCCAGGGAAAGAACCATTGTCAGTATACCTCCTTGGTTTCGAGGGATTTCGGAAAGAGGAAGGATGGACTTGAAGACTAGGAGATGAGACTATTGAGCGAAACCTGTATCGACATCCTTCCCGACAAGGTGCCATACCAGCGGATGAATTCATCATGCAACACGATATCTACAACCTTGGTGTTTGTCTCCTCGAGATCGGCCTGTGGGAGAGCTTCGTGACCTACGATTCAAACGATTCAAACGCAACCCTTTCGAGCATGTTCGGATTTCCATCTACAATTTCTAAAGAAGAAATGATGACTTCATCTTATCATCTCCCAAAGATTATTTTCTCTCACTCGCGCGAGGTCCACTTCGCGAGTCTATGGGAACCAAGTACTAAGACGGAATAAGAGTTGGAGTGCGATATATTGAAAAGGTGAGCCTTGGACATGGCGATGTTTTACGCTGGACTTCCACTAACTTAGCAGATCCTTTCCCGCCTCAACTCTTTTTCTGTGTGACCAATTTTCAGATCTGGTTTGAATGGAAGGCTATCCTTTACCTTACTTTTGCTTATACTCAGGTCCATGTACGAGAGTGGCCAGCTTGGGGATGGTGGAGGTTTAAGAAGAAACTGCTCTTGCGGGCCCGTTCGCAATACACTTAGGAAAGCGCCGATGACAAGGCATAAGATTGTGACCCCTTGGCCTATCGGAGCAAAAGATTGGCTAGAAATAGTGTCTGTGTTTCTTAAGGTCCACCGTACTTGTACGGTTGGTAGTTAAGTTTTTGCAATTTTTTTTGCATTGCTTTTATATTTTTTTTGGTGCCTGTTTAAATTGCCTACCGTACTATACTCGGTGTGTCTGCGCGACAACAACGACAACGTCGCGTCGCGCCTACCACGCCTGCCTTGGTGGACTGGCAACGTAACCGAGGACCCGCTTTCTTAGCGAGCGAGGCGAGATATTGTGAATGAACATCAATCTACTTTTGAAATCGCATAAAAATAGACCTACTTGCATCCTTTGAAGGTGTGAGAGTGTAGGGATATAAAAGGGAGAGAAAACTATAAGATGTTTTTCATCAAGTAGCCGCAGTCCACTTCTTTATACTCGGACCGCTCTGAAGGATTATGGAGACACTGTTTCTACTGCCAACACGACCTCTGATCTCAATGAAAGACAGCGTAGCTCTATGAACTCACTCAAGCTGCCTTCCTTGCCCCTGGACGCTGCCACACAACCTTTATAATATCCTCTATATGAACAGACTTAACTACAAGCCATAACCGTCTCCAATCTATCTAGTTGTAGCAGTGAAACCCTTCAAAGCCTAATCACTTATGCCTCATATTTCCTGTTACGACCCACGATGTGTAAGGCGATACAGATGTACAATCGCAATTTCAGGAAATCTGCCCCTAAAATACAGGACGAACCCAATGCCGGCAAATTCCTTTGGCTATTGAAAACTGAAAGACCCCTGTTGAGTGGCGAAGTAGACGTCATTGTATATAGCTCAAAAGGTTCAGAGAGATAGCTCCTCGCGTAACGGTCCTATCGCCCACATCGAAAACATATGTCTTTCAATCCTTCTACGGGCAAGGAACTATATCGCTGGATCCAACATAGTAATGCCCATGTTTCTTCATTCAGCTAGCAACCAAGGCTTAGTTAACCGAGGTAAAGCTTATAAGATCTTCCTCTTTTGTAACAACATACCCTTTTTCATGATCAAAGTCCCTCACGCCTAACACAAGGCTAGTAACAAACAGCCAGGAAATGGAAATGTAGATGTAATAAGATAATCAACAGTCACTTTTATCCATGAAAGCGCAGGAGCAATTGTTGAAATAGATCTACACGCCCACTTATAGCTTGTCACGCTGGAAGAGTCTTCACTGTATATAAGCGAGTTCGCTTTGCACTTCTTAGTCAAGACACTTGTTCCACTTCAACAGTAAAGACCGGAATGTTAGGGTATAAATGAGAAAGCATCAAAAGGTCAAGCTAAGGATATCAAGTAAACACAGAATTGAAAATACTTCCAGATCTCTGCTTTTCAATCATTTCTCCCCGTGCGAGTTAGGATGTCTCAAATCCGCCATTTACCTTTGCAATTTCCTAGGAATCTAATATCCATCACATTATACACAACTAACAACTAACCTCCTTCCTAACAAAAGTCCCCACCATTTCATAATAAGCTCGTGGTCGATAATCCAAAATATCCATCTCCATCTCCAACTAAACCACCAATTCCTTACCAACTCACAACCACCTACCCTACTACCCTTACGACGACCATCCCATCAACTCTACACCGTAACAATCCTTCTCCCAGGTCTCTTGATATACCAAAGTCCCACACTCACGCATCTAAAACCCCACTCCTCCAAAAAACGCGCTCGTTAACCCTTCCTCAGTAACTCCACACCTATTCTAAACCTGAGTACTTATTTTAACTTAGCTTACGGGAAAGCTTTATATTAAAAACCCACACATCCTACAAAGAAGTATTTATTAACTAACCGAAAGGCTCAACCTATTTCGTATCTACTATCACTACATTCACCTCTAATAACCCAACTTCTTCATGTCTCTAATCCCTAAACATATAAAGAGCACCCCGTCATAGAACTAAGCATTTATAACCCCTTACCCAGTATCCTAAAGGGAACCAGGGATAAGAATGAAATTAGATCAAGGTTTAGAACCCGACTCTAGAACCTCTACCAACCTCCCATCAATTCCAGATTTCTTACAATTTCACGAAATAGGAGAATGGTTAAGCGAGCATTGGCATTTAGATGAGTTTGGTTAGCCGGATAGCATGGTTTGTTTTACCACCCCCCCCCCCCCCC